CTTTTCAATCTTCCTAAATCTTTTTTTTTTTTTTTACTTGACCTAAATCACCCATCCTTTGAAAAAAAATAATAAAAATTCTCAAACTTGTGTCTGCAAGTGCAGACAGCGGCAACTGTGTGTGTCCGCCACTGTCTTGCAGTTGCAGCAGCTTTAACCCATGGGTTTTCAATGGAACAAGATGGGGGTGTACCTGCAAGACACTCCGACAGTCAAGTCAAATATGGTTCAAGCAGGTTTTAATTATGTAGAAGATGTGTACCTTTGTGTTAACACATGTATTTATAGTGGAGAGATAACCAACTTGGGAGATGTCTTTCTTCATGGTGAAGGCTTTCATCTCTTTTCATTGGTTCTTGTGGGTGGCTGATGTTTCTTGGTGGTGAGGTTTGTGAAAGAAATAGCTTACTGTCATATGGCCTTAAATATTGAGGAGATTTACTGAGATAGGCTTTAGGAGATAAATAAGTGGTAGCAGCCTTTGTTGACTATCATCTTTCTTGTAGAGGTGTGCAAAAAAACTGATTCACTTGTCTTGCCCTTGATCTGACCTTGACCTGACCCATAAATACCAATTTTTTGAACTGGGTTTAAATACTGACCCACTTTTATTTGGGTCGATTTTAGACCTGACTTGTTTTAATAATGACCCATTAACCCACACCCATTATGTGAAAAAAAGAAAAAGAAAATCACAATTACGTTAATAGAAAAGTTTTAATGTAAAACAATGACGTCAAAATTTTTTACGAAACATATTTCCTTCAAAAAATTTCGCAAAATTTTTTGACGAAAAATATTTTCATCAAAATTTGTGACTAAAAACATTTCTGTAAAAAAATGAGATGACAAATTTTTTTACGGAATCTAAATTTCGTCAAAACATTTTACAAAAAAACATATTCATCAAAAATTTCAATGAAACACATTTGCATCGAAATTTTTGACACAAAAAATTTTTATCAACATTCTTTACCGAATTCAAATTTTGGCGAAAAATTTCGATGGAAACATTTTCGTTAAACTTTTTGACAAAAAAAAAATTCCGTCGAAATTTTTAGCAAAACTCATTTCCATCGAAATTTTTTAACTAAATATTTTCGTCAAATTTTTTAATAAAAAACATTTCCATCAAAATTTTCAACGGAACACATTTCTGTCAAAAATTTTTGTAAAAATATTTGACAAAATATTTCGATAAAAAAATTTAACGGAAAAAATATTCTGTCAAAATTCTTTAAAGAATCTAAATTTCGTCAAAAGTTTCGAATGAAACATTTCTCTCAAAACAATTTTCGTCAAAACACATTTCCATCGAAATTTTGAACGAAAAACATTCCGTCAAAATTTTTGACTGAATTCTTTTTCGTTTAAAACAGTTGATGGAGGAAATCATTTTCGACAAAAAGTATTCTGACGAAAAAATAATTTTGTGACGAAATTTTCATCGTTTGCAACGTAGAAATTTCATCGAAAATATGATCTTTTTTGGTATTGTGAAAAGTACATAAATAATTTTGTAAGAAATTTTAAATTTAATTTAATTTGTAAAATATAATAATTATATTAATTTAAAAAAAGATAAAATGGTAAAAAATCTCATTAACTTTCCATTTTTCTCCCACTTTAGAAACCAAGTCAGGTCAGATCCGACCCGGTTCTGAACTAGTTCAAAAATATCCAAACCAAGTCAGACCTGACTTGGATCAAATTAAAGCGGGTCGGGTCAAAATACTTGACCTATAAAAATCAAGTTGGATCGAGTCGGCAAAAAAACCTGACCCGACCTGACCCATGCACACCCTTACTTTCTTGGTGATGAAGGCCTTTTATTTGGGCCTTGTCTTATTATAATATAAATCCATATCAGAAGCCCCCCAAGTCGCTGCTTATGCTAAGAGCATGAGTAGTGTGATGTATAAACTCGCGGGATGACGTATACGTTTATCAACCCGGAAGATACATTTCATTGTTCTTTTATTTGGTACTATGGTCTGTACTTTGCATGGGTGTTTGAGAACTTCATACTTGTATCCTGCAATTTTATACAGTTCATAATTTATAATTCATATATTTTGCATACCTTTCTATTTTGCATGCTCTTTGTTTTGATGTGGCTTGTTATGATTTTTGATGTCACTTTAAGGCGAGATATCTTCCTTCCTTTGTTCTCTTTACATATTAGCCTCAACCATGCGCGTTCTTTGAGCACTTCCTTCATCTTCATGGAAGTTTTAACTAGTTAAGGTTTTACCATCTTAATCTTCATGGAAGTTTTAACCAGCTAAGGTTTTACCTTCCTTTTAATCTTCATCGCGCTTCATGGAAGTTTTAACCAGTTAAGATTTTACCTTCCTTCATCTTCATGGAAGTTTTAACCAGTTAAGGTTTTACCTTCCTTAATCTTCAGGAAAGTTTTAACTAGTTAAGGTTTTACCTTCCTTCATCTTTGTAAGAACCTGCACCGTTAAATTAGGAACTTAAATAACTTACTTATGAAATTAAGAAATAATTCCATAATTGACCTTGGATAAATATAGAAAGATTAGAATAATTATTGAGAAGGACAAATAATGTCTAAATCGATGTTCTGATGAAAAGCACAGATATCGGTTCCGCTTCACGGTATAATTGCGTACCGGTGAAGTATCCTGAAAAATTATATTAAGTATACGAATATTCTTAGAAAAATACTTAAGTTGGGTAAACCAAGTTTGGAGTCATAATTATGAGTTTTGATGTCAAAACTAATACCGATTGCGTATAAAATGCGTATCGACAAAGTGCTGCGAAAATTATAATAAAAATATGATAAATCCTAGAAAAATGGCTAGGTTCAGAATATGAAGTTTTAGATTAAAATGATTAGCGGAGCTATTAGAGTTAATACCAACGGATTAAGTTAAGTGCACCTATATATAGGTTGCACATTAACCTAGGTCAGAAACCTTAAACCCTCAACGTGAAATTCTGAGCTGCCTTAGTGCTCCACCTTAGCTGCCACCTTCCTCTCTTCTTGGAAGCCTGAAATTTTGCATGAAAACCAACCAAGTCATCACCTTTTTCACTTGATTCTTCCTTTTCCACCTTGTGAGCGCGTGAGAGTATACATTGTGAGGGAGAAAGGCACCTTCTTGCTGTGTAGGAGCTGCTGGTTGGGGAGGTTAGGGGCTGTCTTCACTGTTTGGTTGAGAGGGAGCCATTTACTTAGCATTTGGAGCTTCAAGAAGCTACCTTTGGAGAAAAGGACCAAGCTTGTGGACCATTTTCGTGGCCTTGTAGTGGTAGAATCCTAGAGTGGTGTAGAAATCACCAAGTCACTTCCTTTTCTGATTTCACAAGCCTTAAGGTAACCTTTGATCATTTCACTTGAAATTTCATGATTTTAGCTTGTTTGAGTCATTAAAAAGGGAAACTTTGATTATTCAAGTTGAGGGCTGATAATCTATACATAATAAGTGTTAATGAACTTCTGTTTGTGAAGTCATTGGACTCAAAATCGTGGGAGGACCTTTAAAATGGAGATTATGCAGAAACTGCACGAGTTTCTGCATTCTGTCTGATAAGTATTCGAATACTTTTCGTGAAGTATTCGAATATTCATCAGAAGGTAGTCGAATACTCATCATGGAGTATTGGGATACTTTTCTGGAAATGAAAGTATTTGAATACCTTAGTAAAAGTATTCAGATACTTAGTAGTATTTAAATACTTATCAGGGAGTATTCGGATATCTTGTGGTATTCAGATACTGTAGTAAAAGTATTCGGATACACTACAGCAAAAGAGGTATACAGAGGCGGTTCATAAGGCATTTCACGACGGTTCAAACCGCCTCCATATGCGAGCTTCGGCTGTTATCCAACCGTCGTAGTTACTATCGTCGAGAGGCAATTCCACGACGGTTTCACTGAACCACTGGAATGACCGTCGAACCCGACATCAGCGACAGTTGCCAAGGCGGTTATCACCGTAGTAGCATATCTTTTAAATAAATTTACGAATATTTAAAGACGGTTCACAAACGATCGTCGAATTTAAATTGACGTCATTTGGACAACCGTCGTGGAATAATAATTCCAAGGCGGTTAGACAACCGTAGTGGAATAGTAATTCAAAGGCGGTTAGTTAACCGTAGTGGAATAGCAATTCAAAGGCGGTCAGTTAACCATAGTGGAATAGCAATTCATAGGCGGTCAGTTAACCGTAGTGGAATAGCAATTCAAAGGCGGTTACATAACAGTCGTGGAATAACAATTCAAATGCAGTTTGATAGTTGTTGTGGATATGTATACTAAGGTGGTTTTAACCGTCGTTGAATAATAAATAAAATTTATTAATTTTTTATTTTAATAATTTTGTAATAAAATAATACACTATTTTTTCGAGTAACTAATGCAATATTGTACAATACGTTGTCAAATAAATATTAATTTATTTTCAAGAATTTAAATATTGGATATCATTAAAGCTGATAATTAAATGTTTTAAAATTTACATTTATTTTTTAAATACAATTTGATATATATATATATAATTATTAAGAATGGAAATATATGTTTAATTATTAAAAATGGCAAATTGGATTAAAAATCAATCTTTTATAACCCAATATAATAATTATATAAATAAATTAAAAATATCAAGGCTTTTCATCCATAATCATAGTTAAAGGCAGTAAACTTTTCTACAAATAGCCATCTAACCATTTGCACCGAATTCTAATAATTTAAAACATCAAATATACAGGGGAATGTAATAGTTAGTTAACAGTAGCATTGTCATAACACCAAAAAGACATTCAATCACCCTGACATTGTGATATACACCAAAATACAAAAGCTATCCATCAAAAAGTAATCACCAAAATACTCGAAGTTCAGGTCCTTGTGCATTTGGGTACTGAAAAATGCACAAATCCAAAATACTTGAAGTTCAGGTCCTTGTGCTATTTTAAATACATTCTGGAAAACAAAAACAAAAAAATATAAACCCGAGAACTATGGAGGAAATGGGTGTCCTTGAAGTTCAGGTCCTTGTGCATTTGGTACATGGCTAGCAGAAGAGGATGGCCTGAATCCATTGAGAGAGCCCAAATCTTGAGGCTGTAAAAAAAAAAAGAGAGCTCAAATATAAGTCTCAATCTTATACATATTGGGTACTGAAAAATATAATATGATATAAGCAAAAGAGGGTATTTTGTCCTTGAAGTCATATTATACAATCATCATCTCAAACAGAAAACATAAGAAAATTTAAGTAAATGTAATATATACCTGATGCAATCCATTTGATGCAAAACCAGGGGGCATTTGATCCCAAAGCTATGTATAAAAAAGTCAATGCTTCCTCCAAAGACTGAACCTTAGATTTCAACTCTCTAATTTCATTGTCTGTAGATGTTGAGGGAGATGCCCAGAACTACAACGATGTTTAAAAAATTGGGAAGGACAGACCCCAAATCCCATACCCCGTACACGTCCAGGGTGCTCCTTCCCAAACACCTGGACGTAAGCTTCTTCTTTGGATAAAGTTCCATAATTTTGTGCAGCTAATAACAAATCCTACAAAATTTGATCCAACAACCAATTTAAAAACAGTAACATTGTCATATAGGAATACAAGTAAACAACTATATTCCACTTACATTTTTCTGCAGAGCCTCTTCATTCACAAATGTACCATCTTTTTTCAGATGCGAATAGGCATAAAATTCCGCTCTACTGATAGGTCTACCTTTTTCAATTTCCTAAAATAATAAAATAACCAACAAAAGAAAAGAAAAATTATGATTATAAACTACTGCACTATATTTATTTGATATATTAATTGGACATATCACTGAAGAGACAAAACTAAGTGTAGATTTATAGCAAAACTAATTGGGCATATAAACTACTACTGATAGGCATTACACGTGAGCTTGGATATAGCAAAACTAAGTGTAGATTTAACCAAAAAAGGTTTTTTTACTTAACAAGAACCATAGAACCACATAATCATACAAAATAAAAAAATACATGTACCAGCTCTCTTTTTCTTCTTGCAATAGACTTTGAGCCTAAAGTGTGAGGAATTGTTAGCTTTGCCCTATTGGCAGTATTCTTTTCAGCAATTTCCTACATTAAACATAAAATAATTAAGTAACTTATTAAAAAGTTATATCAGAAAATACATACTCGAATGTTATATCAGAAAAACTACCAAATGTTCGATGATGAAAATGAAAAATGAAAAAGGTACCAAATGTTATATCAGTAAAACTACCAAATGTTATATCAGAAAAGGTACCACTATTATTTTAAGAAGTGCTACTATGCTACACATAGGAACTAGCAACACAATCTTTTGAGTTTTAAAACCCAAATAGACGAAGATCCCAACCCTGTCGCTAAGGAACAATCAAGTTCAACATTGATAGTAAATTTGAATCAGGACCTATTCTAAGAGTCTCAGAAACAATGAATCAACAAGAAGCATTCCCACTAAATCATATAAAATGAGGACAAATTGTGTTATTAGGAAACCATCAAAGGGAATTACATAACACAGTATATGGAGAATAAAGTAAAATCTTATTACTCAAAAACAACCATTTTACCTAAAAGTGTTCACTGAAGTTACTTAACCTATAATAAGCACTTTCCTACATTACACAAAATAATAATTAAGTAACTTATTAAAAAGTTATATCAGAAAATACATACTCGAATGTTATATCAGAAAAACTACCAAATGTTTGATGATAAAAATGAAAAATGAAAAATGCTATATAAATGTATAAAAAAGAACCCCAGAATGATTACCATAATGATGACATGTATAAAAATGAGAAATGCTATTACCATTGTTCTTTTCTCAAATATGTACTCCAAAAAAGAAGCCCATTGTTCTCTTGAAATTCCCATTGGGCATCTCTCAATACTTTCTTCTAAGGACATATCAGAATTCTTAAACATGTGCCACAGCCTTGATCTATTGTCCTTCCATTGTTTGGTGAGTGTGTACACCTTTGGCTTTGCATTTCTGGTGCCAAGGAGTCATCTTTGGTGCAAAGAACCAAGCTTTGACCACCATTTTCGTAACCTTGTAAGATCAGACGTGTAGAGTTGAAGTGAGAGCTCCAAGAGTATCATTCACCTCTGTTTTGAGCTTGTGGTATGATCATCACTTTTGTTCTTGAGTTTCCTTTGTTAAAAATGAAACCTTGATGCATGTAATAAACTAAAGTTGATAACTTAATGTTGGGTAAGGTTAAACACACCTAAAAATGCATATTTAAGCTTCTGGAATCGTTAAAAGAGCAACCTTTGGGAAGGATATCTCGCGAAATGCAGAACTGCATTCTGTCACGAAATATCCGGATATGGGGTCTTGTGATATCCGGATATGGAGATCCGGATACGGCCCCGACCTATATCCGGATATTCTGGGAATTTCGAGACAGTAGCTGTACTGTTCATAGTGAATTACATTTTGGGTTTGTGGACCCATGATTGGTCAATGTGGACTTCTATAATAATTAATCTAAGTCAGAATCTAAGAGATTAAGGGCTTGTGGCTTTGTGAGAAGCCTAAAGACATGAAACGTAAAGGGAAAGCGTTGTCTTTATGTTATATGTTTGTAGAGTATGATTGTTGATATGATTGCTGGTCTAAAACAGATTGTGATTCTGCTGTTTGTGGACTTTGAGCGTGGTTGGACTCTTGTTTGGATAGTTAACTTAAGAGGTAAGCTTTCGTGTCCTCAGTTTAGCCGTTGTTGGTTCGACCATACGCCATAGGGGAATGGTTTATATGCATGATGTGTTTTCATGTATTGATTTATTGAAATGTTGTTGAGTTGTTAAGTGCAAAAGCCCTATGATATGTATGTGATGTTCGCCTAGACGGGATTAAGTTCCTTGGGCAAGTACGGTGTAAGAACCCACACCGTTAATTAAAGAAGTTAATTAATTAATTATGTGAAATTAGGAAATAATTCCATAATTGACTCTAATAATTATTATAAAGCTTAAATAATTATGGTAAGTGATTAATAATGCTGAAAGTCGCTTTTCTGACGAAAAGTGCAGATACCGGTTCTGCTACTCGGTATAAATGTGTACCGATGAAGTATCCGAGAAAATTATAATAAGTGCATGAATATTCCTAGAATAATATATATTCCCAGAAAATTAGAGATCTCACCTTGTGTTGGGGAACATTTTCAGGTACAGGTACCTCGCGGGTTGAGACCAGAGTTGAGTTGATTATGCATGCTGCTTACTGATATTCCTGGATATTGATTATGCTTTACTTTCAGTGTATTGCTATTAGATTGAGACACTGTGACTATGAGCCTTATTTGGTGAGCATGGGGGTTGTCCATGCCATATTGATATCAGACGTGTTTGATTTTATTTGAGTTGTATAATTGTATCTGGATATGGTCCGATCTATGTGTTGTAGTTGCGTGACTAGATGCATATATATATATATATATATATATATATATATATATATATATGATGAGGTTATTCAGTTAGTTATTTATTGCAATGTACTTACAGGCAATATTTTGAAAAGGAATAAGTAATCTACATGGTTAATAATGTATAGTTCATAATTGAAAAGAAAAAGTTAGCTCCGCATTTATTTAGCTGCGCTATTACCATATATATGCTTAATACATCGGGTGCACACAGGGTGTTACATTTTATGGTATCAGAGCACTTTCTAGGAAAAAAGCATGTATGTATTGCAATAATTTAGGATGCCTTGTTGTCTGAACTGTCTATTGAGTTTCTTTTGGGTTTTTACTATGATGATGCATGCGTGACCATATTGTGTGGGCTTGATCAGCTCATTATTTGTGTAACATGTGCAGAGTCATGGTACTTCCTAGGAGGAACCGAGAGACGAACGAGGGTCAGCCGGACCCAATCCTGAGTGCATTAGCTGAGATGCAAGCGACTAAACAAGGCGACCAGGAGGCCGCTAGTGTGGCCAATCAGGCTATGATGAACGACGTGAGAGAGGCGAACAGGAAAGCAACCGAAGACGTGCTTGAGGCGAACCGGTTGGAGAACATGACCATGATAAGTGTAAGAACCCGCACCGTTAATTAAGGAAGTTAATTAATTAATTATGAGGAATTAGAAAATAATTCCATAATTCACCCTAATAATTATTATGAGAATAAAATAATTATGGTAAGTGAGTAATAATGCCGAAAGTCGCTTTTCTGACAAAAAGTGCAGATACCGGTTCTGCTACTCGGTATAAATGCGTACCGATGAAGTATCCCGGAAAATTATGAAAAGTGTGTATAAGTCACTAGAATAATATATAAGACTTGTAAAACGAGTTTCAAGTTAAAATAATGAGAAATGGTGCCAGAATTGATACTGGCTATGGAAAAGCGCGTACCGAGAAGGTGCTGCGAAAAATAAAATAAAAATATGAAAAATCTTAGAAGAATGGGTAGGTTCATTCACAAATGTACCATCTTTTTTCAGATGCGAATAGGCATAAAATTCCGCTCTACTGATAGGTCTACCTTTTTCAATTTCCTAAAATAATAAAATAACCAACAAAAGAAAAGAAAAATTATGATTATAAACTACTGCACTATATTTATTTGATATAGTAATTGGACATATCACTGAAGAGACAAAACTAAGTGTAGATTTATAGCAAAACTAATTGGGCATATAAACTACTACTGATAGGCATTACACGTGAGCTTGGATATAGCAAAACTAAGTGTAGATTTAACCAAAAAAGATTTTTTTACTTAACAAGAACCATAGAACCACATAATCATACAAAATAAAAAAATACATGTACCAGCTCTCTTTTTCTTCTTGCAATAGACTTTGAGCCTAAAGTGTGAGGAATTGTTAGCTTTGCCCTGTTGGCAGTATTCTTTTCAGCAATTTCCTACCTTAAACATAAAATAATTAAGTAACTTATTAAAAAGTTATATCAGAAAATACATACTCGAATGTTATATCAGAAAAACTACCAAATGTTCGATGATAAAAATGAAAAATGAAAAAGGTACCAAATGTTATATCAGAAAAACTACCAAATGTTATATGAGAAAAGGTACCACTATTATTTTAAGAAGTGTTACTGTGCTACACACAGGAACTAGCAACACAATCTTTTGAGTTTTAAAACCCAAATAGACGAAGATCCCAACCCTGTCCCTAAGGAACAATCAAGTTCAACATTGATAGTAAATTTGAATCAGGACCTATTCTAAGAGTCTCAGAAACAATGAATCAACAAGAAGCATTCCCACTAAATCATATAAAATGAGGACAACTCATGTTATTAGGAAACCATCAAAGGGAATTACATAACACAACATATGGAGAATAAAGTAAAATCTTATTACTCAAAAACAACCATTTTACCTAAAAGTGTTCACTGAGGTTACTTAACCTATAATAAGCAATTTCCTACATTACACAAAAAATAATTAAGTAACTTATTAAAAAGTTATATCAGAAAATACATACTCGAATGTTATATCAGAAAAACTACCAAATGTTTGATGATAAAGATGAAAAATGAAAATTGCTATATAAATGTATAAAAAAGATTCTGAGAATGATTACCATAATGATGACATGTATAAAAATAAGAAATGCTATTATCATTGTTCTTTTCTCAAATTTGTACTCCAAAAAAGAAGCCCATTGTTCTCTTGGAATTCCCATTGGGCATCTCTCAATACTTTCCTCCAAGGACATATCAGAATTCTTAAACATGTGCCCATTGTTCTCTTGAAACTTCGAGTTTTGATGGTGACCTCTTTGTTTGGGGGTGCACTTCTCGAGGCGGAGATTGCGAGAGTCGAGAATGAGTTTTTGGAGAAGACCCAATAGGTGCAAGTGCTAAGAGGGTGCCGGGATCGTGTGAACAACCAGGACAGTGTGTCTTGGAAGAAGGAAGAACTTTGTTGCTTGTGCTTAAAGGTGAAGATTAAACACCAGAAGCCGTTTTGTAAGCTTCAACCTCTTGAGGTACTGCAGTGGAAGTGGGAAGGTATTTCCATGAACTTCGTGGTGGGTTGGCCTAAGACTCAGGCTGGTATTGACTCTATTTGGGTCATTGTGGACAGATTTTCAAAGTCTGTCCACTTTCTTCCGATACAGGTGAGTTTCTCTTCATTGCAGTTGGCCAAACTGGTTGTTCGCAAGATCGTGAGTCTTCACGGGGTGCCCGAGAGTATCATTAGTGATAGGGACCCGAAGTTCACTTCTCGGTTCGGGGAGGCGCTGCAGAGAGCTTTTGGAACTCAGTTGCTACTGAGTACAACCTATGACCCTCAGACTGTTGGACAGACTGAGCGGATCATCCAGGCCTTGGAGGACATGCTGAGGGCTTGCACCTTGGAGCAGGGCCCAATATGGGATAGGTACCTGGCATCAATTGAGTTTTGTGCAACTGTGTTTTCCTTGCTAGCCTGGGCAGGGAACCCTATGAGGCGCTGTTTGGTAGGAGGTGTAGAACTCGTACCTGTTGGTCTGAGGTTGGAGATAAAGATTTATTTGTTTTGGACCTTGTCCAATTTACCACCAGCCAATTCAGATGATCAGAGAAAAGCTGAAGCAGGCGCAGAGTCGCCAGGAAAACTACACTGATGTTAAGCATCGTCCACTGGAGTTCAGTAAGGGTGAGCACGTGTTTGTGAGACTTTCACTGTCACCGGTGTTGTTCGGGCCCTCGGAGTGAGGAAACTGAGCCCACGATTCATTGGCCCATACCAGTTACGTGGTAGAGTAGGACCTGTTGCCTACCGGTTTGCCTTGTCTCCGAACTTGACCAACACCCACGACGTGTTTTACGTGCCCCAACCTCGCAAGTTTGTAGCAGATCCTTCGCACGTTGTACAACTGGATGTTGTGGAGGTTCGGGGGAACTTGAAAACTCCCGTCGGACCACCCAAGTTTCTTGATCGTGG